ATTTTATCCATCATCATATTTTCTAAAGTTATTTCTATTTTTAATATAACAAACCTATCTTATGTTTGCAGAATCCCTTTTGCAATTAAATTTTCACCCATTATCTCTAAACAAACTTATGGTTACAATCCTTATATCTTTTCCCTGTTTCTCCATTTCTTGTTTCTGTCTTTTACAACTTCTTTTCCTTGCCTTCTTCCCCCTCTTCTTCTCCCTCCCCTTTTTACCCCCTCGTCTCTTTACTTCTAACTCTCTCATCTGTAATCACCTCTTCTGTTGCTTTCTAATATTATACTTATCTTTCAAATTGTTCTTCTTCTTTTTGGTTGTTTTTTCTAATCTTAAACCTTTCGCTCTCTTTCCCCCCTTTTCTTTTTTCCCCCCACTTAAAATTATTTTATCATTAAAGATGGCTTCTTCTTTGTCCCAATCTTCTTGTTCTGCAAGCGTTTCTTGTTGCTTCTCATAGTTCCAGATCTCCATTTCTAAGAATTGAAACACAAAGCCAAAAGAACTTCTCCCTTCTTGTGCATCTTCTTTCCATTTTTTAACTTCCATTTTCAGTTCTTCTAAGAGTGATACCATTTTAAAAACTTTTAAACAACCACCCAGTTAATTTTAGTCATCTAGATGCAAAAACCAAAAATCACCAAGTAATCCAAATAATCCAAGGCTGTTTCTACTTGCTTCTTTTTTCCACTTTCTCTTCCTGGGGTTCTATTATTTTGTTACCAAGTTTCCATTAAAATGTATCTTTGAGGAATCTTGTTAAAATTTCACTGTAAGTTCCTTTTAATTACAGTTCCATTCCTTAATTCCAGGCAGTCGCCTCCATTTTTCCAGATCCTGCCCTTCTATTCTTTTTTTTTCTCCTTTCCAGCTTTTAAAAACTTTTAAATGTCCAGAAAACTTTATTATCCCTTTGACTTTTATTTTCAGCTTAGATGCCTATTAATGTCAAAGTGGATTTTTTTCAGTTTCTTGCTTAAGTCTCTTAGCTGTCAGTATAAGGAAAGGAAGAAAAAAAACCTAATCCTTTCCCTTCTCTCTCTCCTTCGCAGCTTCAAAATCTTCTCTGGGAACAATGTTGTTAAGTTTAAATTCCAGGATACCTTATTTGTTGTTTTTGCTATTTGACCCGGTCAACCAAAACTTTCTCTTCTTATCTTCCTCCTGCACATTCTTTTCTGGTTGAGTTCTTCTTTGTGGTGGCCATTTCTGACCACTGCTACAACCGCCTTCGGGAAAGGGAGTAATGGCCAGCTGGGGAGGAGAGATAAGGCTCTCCTCAACCCTGCAGGCAGTCTCCCCCACTCTTCACCACCTCTATGGGGTGGCTTAGCCCGGAAACCAGCTGGTTCGGGGCGCTACAGCAGCAAGCACAGATCGAAGCCTCGGAGAGATGAGGTTTTGGTCTGTTACCGAAGAAGCTCAAACCGGAAGTCCCAATCTGCAGATTCTTTTATCTTCCTTTTCCTCACACACATAATTCTAGCATGGGTTGAGAAGACCTGGAAACTTTCTGACAGAGCTTTTGATTCTCAGCATGGTCCTTTGCTTAAAAGCAATTGACTAAGAATGCAGTCTCTGACATGAACTATCACCAAAGGACTGTTTGTTGCCCTATTCCAGGGGTCCCCAAACTTGGCAACATTAAGACTTGTGGACTTCAACCCCCAGAATTCTCCAGCCAGCTATGCTGGCTGGAGAATTCTGGGAGTTGAAGTCCACAAGTCTTAAAGTTGCCAAGTTTGAAGACCTCTGCCCTATTCCAATTCCTTACAAAAAATGCAGCTCTACAAAGCCACCCCACCTTTCTCTCATAGCCATGGAGCAAGTGTCACTGTACTGAGCTCCATCTTCACACATTGCTGGTTAGTGCTTCTCATGATGTAAATGTCTGTGAGAATGTCCTTAAGAGACAGAAGAGAAAGAAGAGCAGATTTATGCAATGAACACAGAAGAGGCAGCTGAGTCTACAGAAAAAAAGGACGGCATGGCAATGTCTCAAAAGGAACCCTCCCAAGTTTCTTGGACTATAAGGTTGTGGAGAGGGGAGGTGTACTTTTAGGCTTGCAAGTTTCTGTTACCTTACTTAGGGTGGTATGGTGGGTCAGCGGTTAAGACACTGGACTTGTTGGCTGGAAATCTGGTAGCCCAGGTGTCATTGTTCCGAGTAATGAACTGAGGAAAGTCAGGAAGCAGATAATCAGAGTTGGAAGAAACCTTGTAGGTCATCGAGTCCAACTCTCTTCCCCTACCCAAGCAGGAGACCCCTACACCATTTCTGACAAATGGCAGTCCAATCTCTTCTTGAAAGTCTCAAGTGATGAAGCTCCCACAACTTCCAAAGGCAAGCTGTTCCATTGGTTGATTGTTCTCACTGTCAGAAAGTTTCTCCTTATTTCCAGGTTGAATCTCTCCTTGATCAGTTTCCATCCATTATTCCTTGTCTGGCCTACAGATGCTTTAGAAAATAGATTGACCCCTTCCTCTCTGTGGCAGCCCCTCAAGACTGTTATCATGTCTCAACTGGTCCTTCTCTTCACTAGACTAGCCGTGCCCAGTTCCTACAACCGTTCTTTGTATGTTTTAGTCTCCAGTCCCCTAATTATCTTGGTTGCTCTTCTCTGAACTTTTTCTAGAGCCTCAACATCTTTTTTATAGTATGGTGACTAAAACTGGATGCAGTACTCTAAGTGTGGTCTTACTAAGGATTTATAGAGTGGTATTAGTACCTCAGCATTAGACTCTGTTGCTTTGTTCAGGTTCAAGAGAGCCTTTATTGAGTATATAATATTGGCACTTAGAAAGGTGAAGCTAGCTCTAAATTATTTCCACATATACGGATAGTTAAAAGACTAAGACCTCTCCACCCCCTATTATCCCTCAAGTCACATGGGCCAATCAGTCCAGATGTAGGTTCCCACTCAACTTCAACAGGTGTCCATTGACAGGACCTTGGTTCTCATGCTGGATGGTAGATGTTACCTGGCTTAGGCACCGTATTCCTGATGCTCTTCCCCGCTTCCCCCCGAATGGCAACAAGAAACTAAGCAGAAGGAAGCATGGCTTCATCTGAAGTCGTTTTGCAGGTTGACACTAGGTTTAACACCTGAGTGCTATGCAATGGGATTTACTTGCATCCTTGCCCCAACTCCTGCCAATGTAGCAGTTCAAATGTATACAACTGCGAGTAGATAATGGGTACCATTTTGATGGGAAAGTAACAGTGCTCAATGATCAGCTGGCCAGTAGGGAGGAGCAAAACAAGACAGTTTTATCCCAGCCTTTCTTCTTAGCTGACTCCACTTCATTTTCGTGATAAGGATTAACAACCAGCCACAATGTGAAAAGAGTGCGAACTGTACCTCCATACAAACATGAAGGACTGGAGGATAGCATGATAGATTTTTGCCACCTGAAATGGGAGGTGGGGTCCTTTTCAAGGATCTCCCCCTCTCATTTGCAAGGGAGGTTGAATTTTCTTTGGAGCAGCAACCTCAGAACACCCACAGCATCATGGGAAAATGAGCAAGCTTCATAATGGAGCGGGGAACAGTAGCCCTGCCCACCTGTGCAATGCATGCAACTCACATTATAAAGGGGCATGGCTTTTCATGCCTGACTGTACCCAGCAGCAAAGCTGATGATTCTTGCTGTGGGTATCCTGGGAATCCACTCCCCTACATGGAGAAAGAACCACCATCTTTCCCAATCTGGAATTTCGGTTGGGTTAGAGATGTGGTTTCCAGATTTTGGATTCTCTATTGACCTTCAGCTGGCTTAGAAATTGTGAGAATAGCAGTTCATCAATCTCTCTTGAGGTCATCAATGTGTCCACTAAAAAGATACTCCTTTGGGCTTTTTAGCTGCCAGAAAAAGGGAGTGGGGGGTGGGGGAAACAAGGCATTCTTGAAATGCCTAGATAATCACCTCGGTAGCCCAAAGTTGACAGAGCATAAGAAGGTTATTGGAGAGCATGATGGATGACTCTTGGAGATGGATGTGTCCCACTGGAGAAGTCACATCTGGGGGGGTGGGGATGACCAGGGTCAAGGGGGAAATATATGATGGGATTTAGTATCGGCTGTACCAACATGGCCACTTCTAACACTTTCGATTTGAATGAGGGTGGATTTGTTGGAGCCCTGACACAATGCATGGCTTAAACCTATTTAAAACAACATTGTTTAAATTAATTCCCAGCACTGTGTGCATCATGATATTGCAGATTCTTTCTCAGTCATTCTTGGGTGCCATCCTCCTCCCTTCCTCAGCTGTTGCTTATTTTTTTTTATTAAGCTGAAAATAAACTTCTTGACTGGATAAGATAAGAGAAGGTAGGTGCTAGAATAAATTAATTTTAAAAAGTAGATGTGTCTTTTTATCAGTTTTCTTTGCCATTCAAAGCTTTTGCAACTATTCAAACTGACAATAGCTGAATTCTGGCAATCAGATTTTGACAAAATGCAATACATAGCTATCGACATTGCCTGTTTTTGGTTACTGATATGTAGCAGTTTTGAAGATATGAGTTTCTGTTTGATGACTTATAACACTGAGTAATTCTAATCAGTAAAATTTCTCTCTGCTCGCTTTCCTCCTTTCAGTATTATTCTCCACAATGAAATCAAATTCTGATTCTGAAATTCAAACATTGATTTATCTCATGCAATTTATGCCAGTTTCTTTTGTTGGCTATGGTTTCTTTGTGTCAGTATCAGGATTAGAGCGCTATGCTTTCACTTTCAAGTGACTAAAAACAGCCTTCCTTAAACTGGTGACTTTCATATGTTACATTTGAGATTCCATCATCTCCTAACCAGCATAAAGATTAAAGGGTAACACACTGGAGGCTATTAGAGTGAGAAAAGCAGTCTTAAAGGCTTGAGAGCAAAATAATACATGAACCATTCAGATATCAAGCTCTCCAAGGGTTGAATGTGGCATTGGGAGCCCTTTTTTGAATCTCCATAGTGGTAAATGTATGAGACTCCATGGGCCTTTTCCATGGTGGCCTTCAAAATATGGCAAGTGTTTCCTCAGCAGATCTTTTGTTTAAGTAGACATTCAAGAATCACTTAATGTTTCAATAACAACTGATTCTCAGATGTTATTTTTTTAGCATCTACTCACATGTACATTTGACTGTGTTTTAATGTATTGATTGTTGTGAATAATGAATAATTATTAGTGAAGCATATTTTATCCCTATAACAGATACTTATTCATAAGAAATGCATCCTAGGGCAGTATTTCCCAACTTGGGTAGCTTTAAGATACATGGACTTCAACTCATCATTATTATTGCATCTCTTTTGCACCTTAAAAGTATTTTGGCTGTGTGAATTCAACATAACCAGGTTAGTTAAAAGTTGTTGCTGAATCTACATACTATGCTTGGATTGTTTGTGGCCTAGCATGTTATATAAAACTAACTTGTTCAAGATTCAATACATTGTTCATATTCAGAAATGAAGTCATTCATTCATCAATTAAGTGTGTTGAGTGAACACAACCAGAGTGTGATCCCAGTGAAATTATCTGCCGATGTTAATTTTAATTGTAAATTAGCGGATTTCCCCCCCCACCCAATGAAAAAATAAACATGTGCTTTTCCTCTCTTCCTAGTTTTCAGCCTATACCACCAAAGACCACCCAGTTTACATGTCTGTCTATAACAACGGCACCAAGATGCCTTCACCGCAGGAGACATCTAATGGCTTCCCCCAGCCCAGTGCCTCAGGTACTTGGCACAAACCAGAAGAGGAAGTACGACTGGTAGAATCTGGCTTGGTGAAGAAGGCACACCGAGAAATCCTGGACCATGAGAGGAAACGGCGGGTGGAGCTGAAGTGCATGGAGCTGCAGGAGATGATGGAGGAGCAAGGGTAAGTGAGGGTCGAGTGGGTGAGGAGTCCTTAATGCTCCCTGAGCATGGTTGTTTTCCTGCAGACATTTCATTACCCAAACTGGATAGCATCATCAGTACTATTGGTTTAGTGAGTACTTGTTTGACCTAGTACCCAGGTTTGCACAATAGCTACCCCAATGTTTCTGAGGGATCTACCCTAACAGGCTTCTCATGACAAACCGGAAGCAGAAAAACTGATTCAAGAATTTCTAATAAGTAGATATATTGCAGAAAAAGTAATGAAATTATCGTGAAGAGTCCTGATGGTGCTGTGGTTAGAATTCTGTTATTGCAAGCTAATTCTGCAGACTGACAGCAGTTCTATTCTCACCAGCTCAAGGTCGACTGAATCTTCCATCTTTCAGAGGTGAGTAAAATGAGGACCTAGGAACAATAGACTGACACTGTAAGCTGAGGGCTGTAAACCACTGTGAAGTAGTATATGCGATTGATATTGATATTGTGAAAGAATTTCAATAATTGCTGTGTATTAAATGGAAGCCCTATTTATAGTGAAACTAAGGATCAAATTTCCACGCCACCTTTTGCTCATATGATGTAATGGTTTCCATCTACCTCTTGACTTAGTAATAGTCCCATCTTGTTTCCGGTTGTTTGCTTGTGGCCCTTCTAGAACTGACTGTCATACAGCCACATTGTTCATATAGGAAAACAGCATCATGGTCAACACCACCTCTCTGCCATGCTAGGGAACTATATCTAGGAGAGTTGGAACAATTGAATTCCTTTTGGATATTCTGTCTTGTTCCCCTCTCAAATTCTGACCCTTTTTGCTTCTGCACCTGCCATACTCACAAAATTTATATACTGCATCAAAGCATAATGTAATAATGACAGCTACTCAGTAGCAGGGTCATCACACTGAAAGATGGGCAGCAAACAAATTTAATACATAAAAAACTCCTTTATTCCTTTATTCGGGGTAGAGTTGGCGTAATTGGATAGAGCTGAGCATTTACTGACCAGATGCCCTTCCTGATGCCATGTGCAGTTCACAGCAGATTTTTTTTTTCTTTGCATCCTAGGAAGGAAACATCTATCGCTACCTAGTACTGAACTCTCAACCTTCCAAATGGAAGGCAAGCACTTTCATCACTAGACCACCATGCCACTCGAATAAATACATAAAATAAATAAATAAAAATTGTGCACTGAATATACCACCTTTGGCACATTCAGCAATTATACTTCATAAGTCATAAAGGCCAAACCAAAGAAATCATTATTTTAGCAGGTTACATGAAATCAGCCACAGGTTTTGCAGAGAATATTTTAATGAAAAATAAAGATTGTCATATGAAAACCCTAAAGTTTAAAGAACTTAAAGATATGTGGATATTGTAACAGTTAATAGCAAGTAAAGATATGTGGATATTGTAACAGTTAATAGCAAGTAAAGATATGTGGATATTGTAACAGTTAATAGCAAGTAAGAGATTGCTTTAAAAAAAAACACCAATATTTTCATCTAAGGTATCTGTACTGCAAATGAACACATGCACATCTAATCCATCCTTGTAAAAAAGAGTACATAAAAGGGAAGCATCTTTGGTTAGGTGTTGGATTTCCACACACTGAAATCTCACCTTTTTTTTCTGCAAGAGAGCAGTTTAAAAATGCAGTTCTTCCCATCACATGAAATCTCAAACATTATGATTTACCTCCTAGTCTACCACAGATTGCATAATCCCCCAAACTGTAGGGAAAGGGCATGCTCTAATTACTGGCTAATCCGCTATTCAAATTAAATCAACCTGAACATGAATCTGTATAGTTCTGATTTGCTGCAGGGCATCATCTGCTCGAGTGACGGGTTTCCTACATCTTTGAGAAGAAAAACCAGTTAGGGGAAGAGAGGTGTTTTGCTCTTAATGTTGGAAAGAGAGATTCCCCAGGCAATGCTGTCTCCCATTTCGACCCTAAGTTGCTTTTCTATTTTTGACTCCTGGTGCACTAAGGGACTGATGCATCACAGGGAGCAGAGGAGCAGAAGGCCACTGGGAAGGTATGACATGAGTTTTTCTGTCCTCCTAAAGGGAAGCAGCTGCTTCTAACTCAGCCAGCTGGTTTGTGACTCAGATTTAACTAGCGGCAGCAACTGTCTTAAGAAGTCAAGCCTGTCAGATTCACTTCCTTGGCATTGGCAGAAGGCCTGTTTTCTATTGCTCTCAGTAGAAAGACAGCATTGTGAGAAAATATGACATATATTTGAATAGAAGCTCCTAACTAATTGACTAGGATTTTTAAACAGATCACTGATACATTCAGAAAGTCATTAGCCTAGCAAAATAGATCCTTTATATGTAGATATAGCATTATCACTGCCAATATCGGTCCAGCATTCTCCAATTTAAGTTAATTGCTTGGTGAACAATGCAACATGCAAATTTCACCATGGTCCAAGTAGTAATAATGTACACATGTCTGCCAGCACCCTTTATTCTTCATTCCTTCATTCTTTATTCTATGAAATACTATATTAAAAGAAATTACGGGGAACCCACCCCAAAGTATATTACTGAAAACTAAAAGAATATTGATGGTAACTGAAATAAAAGCTTGGATAAGCCATGTGCAAGATTGTGCTTGTTAGGCAAAGCTGTGCATAAAAAGACATAGATTTTCTCTAAATACAATTTGCGAAAGAATTGGAATAAAATAATGTTAGTATATGTGATGCTTAGATGTGTCAACTTTGGAAGCCATATTCCATAGCCTGGGAGGGTGGAAGGGGGATGATTTTAATTAAGTAGCTCTAAGTAGGCAAAATAAAATTCTTTGTTAGTTCAAGGTCATTTAACAAGGCGCAGGATGAAATAAGGATCTTACTTTTGGACGGATCATGATTGGACGATGTGATGATGACTGAAGGGGGATGGATTTGTAGTTTGAGAAATTGTGGGAAGCCGAAAAAACAGGTCTCCACAGATGTGCCAGGTGCTATTCTAATAAAGGTACTTTTGAGATATGTTGGTCTTGGAGTTACTGATTGGAATGCAGGTTTGCTGGAACGTTGACAAAATGTTTCCTGCATGTTTTCAAGACTCCAAGAAGCCTATGTGTAGGACATTCATTTGCAGAACCTCCACTTTTCAGTGCATCCTATCCCTATGTCAATATTCTTTTCTCCTAATGCTTTTATGGCCACCAATATAATTGGGCACTAAATATTTAAATGGGGAAAATCCAAAATATAAGCAGTCTTACAAGAGTCCATTTATTGACCATTCAAAGCTACAGCTGCACTAAAAAAAAGTCACAGGACCATTTTTTTTTCAGACTTATGACTATTGCTGAATCCCTATGGTCACATGATCAAAATTCAGATGCTTGGCAACTTATTCATATTTAGGATGGTTGTAGTTTCCTGGAGTCATGTGATCCCATTTTGTGACTTTCTGACAAGCATAGTCTACATAGATTCACTTAACAACCATGCTACTAACTTAACAATTGCAGCAATTCATTTAGTAACGGGTTATGTTTTTGTTCTTATTTGATTTGTTACCTATAATTATTCAGTATATATAATTGCATGAGTTTGGACATGATTATTACGAGTTGGGCACTCATATACATCTTACGAATAAACCAACAAATGAATAAGAGGAAGGCAAAGAACACCAAGGAATACAAGGAAGTAGGTTATAGGCTCTGATTTCCAAGCTGCTTATAAGTTTATTGCTTATAGGGGCTTTCTTTTTTATTTCCCCCATCAACTTTTCCAGTTTTTTTCAAGAATAGCATAAGAGGAACCTGACATTTTGTGTTAACTGCTTTCTATTCAGTCTAATTCTATACATGGCTGTCTGGAGGGGGATGAGAAAAGTGTACATGACAGCCATAGCCATGCTTTCAAAGCACCATGATTTTATGTGCATCACATTGTGTGACTTCACTCACATGACTGTGCCCATCATCTAACTTTCTTTTACACCCTTTGAAACACCCCTGATTCCATAATTCCTTCTCCCCACTTTTCTGTATTACATTCTATACGTTATTTATTTAGTGGCATCTCTACAGTGTCCCCTGGGTTGAAATAGTGATGCAAATACTCTCTTAGCAAAAGGGAAGGATGCTCCTTGCATCTATTTGTCTAAAATACTGCAGGTTTTTTTGCCTGGATAGACCCTACAGCATATATCATTGCCCTACACATCTCTCACAAACAGTCAGAATGCAAGAAAACCTTTTCTTCTCCATTTTTTTTTAAAAAGCCCTACCTCTCTATGGCTGTTTGGCATACCATCATGCTATTGACCCAAAGACAGTCCTTGATTTATGATCCTAAATGAACTCACTATGATGGCTGTAAATCATGGCAGTTGTTTAGCTAGTTATCATATGACCATGCCTAACCAAGGGGTGCCTGACCATCAGAACTTCAAATCAGGTTATAAGTAGCCTTATTGGGGTCTGTTGTAACTTCAAATGGTCTCTAAGCAACTCATTTTAAGTTGAGGACTATCTGTAACTGGGTCAGAAATGTAAAAGTTACAGCTGTTTATGTATCTCCTATAAACTCATCTTGAGTTTACTGGAAAAAAATGGCCTATTTTCAACAGGACATACTGAAGTCATGATCAGAGCAATTCAGAATTAATCAGATGACACCCCAAAGCACTAAAGAAGAAACTCTGAAGGACTTCCCTAATGAATATGCTTGCATCCCAAAATCAGACATAGTTTGTTTAATTGGTAATGCTCTATGTCTCCTTCCTACTGAGAGTCACAAATTCTCTTCCTTGTTTATAACTCAAAGCTGTCCTCTCCAGTTTTTTTTTTCCTGAGCAGCTCCATCTGCAAATAAATAAATAAAATATAAAGGGGCTAATAAGAAGAGTGGCCATCTGTTGCCTCCCATATGCCACAATCTTTTGACATCCTGTCACCAAGTACATTGTTGATATGAATAATGTGCAATGGCAAATATTTACCTCGTTCAGCTGGATC